AAATAGAATCATTTGAAAACATTACAGAGGCCAGATTCCCAACTGGACTAAGCCATCATACCTTCATTCAACATCAGTGGAGCCAGAATTATTTTTATCATCTAAGGAATTGGCCCACTAAGCTTAAAGAATTTAACAGATATGGAAAGGACTGTCTGTGAGTTTCAGACATTAACAGCAGTAAAAATGGTGCTGCTCTATGTAAAGGCTTGGGAAATACCTTAGAAACCTCTATGAATGTCAGACTCCTGATGATGATCATGGGGATGGTCCCTTTGTTCTTAGTGATGCATGATCATTAGACGTTATAAGCAGCATGTCAGTAAATCAACCTACATACTTTGCTATAATAAGCCTCAGTACAAAATGCTGATAGATTGACCATGCTCAATTTCAGTTCATGAACAAAGCTCCCTGCTCCCACTGGCAGGATGATTAATGTAAGGTTCACATACTTAACATTGGGGGCCAATATTTATGGCCTTAAAAACATCAAGAAAAAAGTGAAATGTGTACAGTGACAGCTTGTATAGCATGAGTGTCAAATCTTATCAGGGATTTTGCCATCCATTATGGCTTCAAGAGACACTATCATTTACCAAGCTGCCCTGACAGACCTCAAACCTCATTGTAACATTCTTTGTATAATCTAGTTGAGAAGCCAAACACTAACTAAGGAAAAAGTAGTTTAACACTTTCACGTACTTGATAAAACTGTTCTTGGGAACAGCAAGGCCAGTAAGGGTATGTCTACACTACCCTCCTAGTTCGAACTAGGAGGGTAATGTAGGCATACCGCACTTGCAAATGAAGCCCGGGATTTGAATTTCCCGGGCTTCATTTGCATAAACGGGGAGCCGCCATTTTTAAAACCCCGCTAGTTCGAACTAGCGGGGTTTTAAAAATGGCGGCTCCCCGTTTATGCAAATGAAGCCCGGGATTTGAATTTCCCGGGCTTCATTTGCATAAACGGGGAGCCGCCATTTTTAAAACCCCGCTAGTTCGAACTAGCGGGGTAGTGTAGACATACCCTAAGTGTCTCACATCATTTGTTTTCCTTAATTTTGGCCCAAGCTTCTCGATGACTCTTGTCTATAAAGGTTTTTATATCACACTAAGCTTTCTAGTTGCTGAGTGCCTTGAAGGAGCGAATTAAGCAACATGACAGCCATCTTTCATAACTTGCTAGGTTAGAGTCCCAGTGATATTTGTAAAGGGGGCAAAATATAGATTTGTGTGACTCGTGTCTGCATCAGTGAAGCCACTCTTTAACCAAGTGGGCGAAGGAGGTGAACATATGAATTTGCCTAAGTCAAGAGGCAACAGTCAGTACTTTAGCTAGATTTAGGCAGAGCCACTTGGTCTCTCATGATGCTCTCCTTGGCTCCCACAACCCACCTAAGGCTATGTCTAGACTACATGCCTCTGGTGACAGAGGCGTGTAGATGAGGCTACCTGGCATAGGAAAATGAAGCGGTGATTTAAATAATCACTGCTTCATTTAAATTTACATGGCTGCCGTGCTGAGCCGACAAACAGCTGATCAGCTGTTTGTCGGCTCAGCACGGCAGCCATGTAAATTTAAATGAAGCAGTGATTATTTAAATCACCGCTTCATTTTCCTATGCTAGTCTAGACGTAGCCTAAGAGGCAGACAGAGGAGAAACCAGAACGTCCCTCTCCTTCCTTTTCACCCTCTGCAGTGCAGCAGGTTGCCGATGGGGGTAGCTGTTGAGCAATGCTAGCTCAGAATTCAAATCTTTCCATTTAAAAGTCAGGAGCACTGTTTCAATTCCTAATTAAACAAACTTTTTCTTTGGACTACAGTAGCCCAGGAGGTCCCCAATTTAGCAGCTGAAGGGCCAGTACGTCCGTATGAAATGCTATCATCCCTAGTAGCAGATCTGCTCTGTGAGTTTATAGATCATGAACATTTTGAAAGGATAATTCAAGGAGCAACCAAGAACTGGCTGAGTATATGTTCCTCCCTTGAAAATAAAAATAATGAAGTATGAGTCAACAGTGTGACAGTGTTGCAAAAAAAGCAAACATGATTCTAAGCTGCATTAACAGGTGTGTTGTGAGCCAGGGGTGGATGAGAGTGCTGCGGGGCCCAGAGCAGCTCCGCGGGGCCCTGGGCAGCGAAATTTTGCGGGCCCCCCCTTTGACACAGCACATGCGCAGGGCCTTGGGAAGCGCGGGGCCCGGGGCAGCCGCCCCACTCGCCCTGCCCAAAATCCGCCGCTGTTGTGAGCAAGACACGAGAAGTCATTCTTCCACTCTACTCTGTGCTGATTAGACCTCAGTTGGAGTATTGTGTCCAGTTCTGGGCACCACATTTCAAGAAAGATGTGGAGAAATTGGAGAAGGTCTAGAAAAGAGCAACAAGAATGATTAATGGTCTAGAGAACATGACCTATGAAGGAAGACTGAAAGAATTGGGCTTGTTTAGTTTGGAAAAGAGAAGATTGAGAGGGGATATGTTAGCGATTTTCAGGTATCTAAAAGGGTGTTACAAGGAGGAGGGAGAAAAATTGTTCTTTCTGGCCTCTGAGGATAGAACAAGAAGCAATGGGCTTAAACTGCAGCAAGGGAGGTTTAGGTTCGAGATTACAAAAAAGTTCCTAACTGTCAGGGTGGTTAAACACTGGAATAAGTTGCCTAGGGAGGTTGTAGAATCTCCATCTCTGGAGATATTTAAGAGTAGGTTAGATAAATGTCTACCAGGGATGGTCTAGACAGTATTTGGTCTTGCTATGTGGGCAGGGGACTGGACTCGATGACCTCTTGAGGTCCCTTCCAGTCCTAGTATTCTATAATTCTATGATTCTATGATTAAACGGGTCTCATGCATGATCCAATATACTTAACCTACTGTGCACAGGAAAGGCAATAAGAGCATATACATGCTTGTAAGGGATTAAGTCAGGAATTGAGGTTTAGTAGCATGTCCCTAGATCTTTAATTTAAGTATTAGCCATAGTTTGAATTGTGTTTTGCACAGGTTCCTCCCTGTAAATATCTCTTTATAGCTTGGATATCAATATATAGACCTACCTGGACTTTAGATACCATAAACGGTAGAATAAATAAGCAACAATATATTACTTACTGACTTATATTACAGGTTGGACCTCCCTGGTCTGTCACCCTTAGGACCTACGTGGTCTTGAAGGAGGGATTTTGCAGAACCAGAGGAGGTCATTTCTGGCCCTGCTACGACCAGCTCCCTTCCAGCCTAGCTCCACTCCTGGATTGGCCTCCCGGCTGGCTCCCCACCTGCCACCAGCCCTACTACCCTGCCGCGGCAGCCCATAGTCCCACCAGAAGGGCTCCAAGCTCTGCCGCAGCAAACCACTACTCTGCTGCCAGTGCTCTTGGCCTCGCCAGCCCTGCCATGAAAGCACCAGCCCCATCAGCCCATAGTCCCCCCACTGGGACTCCCTCCCTTCCGTGGCAGATCACTGTCGAGCCACCAGGATTCCCAACCTAGCCAGCCGTACTGGGGCAGCACTGCCAGGACTTCCATCTCCACCACAGCAGATGGCTGCCCTGCCTTCAGGGCTTCCAGCCCCACCATGGCAGACTGCTGCCCTGCCAGAGACTGCTGGTATTCTGGCTTCCCTGCCACTGGCCCAGCTGGACTCCTGAGGCATGGCTCCCAGGTGCTTGCCTCCCTGCAGCCAGCCTGGCTGTGTTCCTGGCCCTGCAGGGCTTCTGCCTCTAGCCCTCCACCAAGTCTCTCTGTTCCAGCAACATCTGTGGTCCTGTCAGGAAGTCCTGGTTGGGAGAGGTTCAACCTGTAGTTCCATTAAGGACAGCAGTTAAATATGTGCTTTATTATCTCTGTCCTGGAAAACTCTTACGTGCATACTTAATTTTAAGCAAGTGCTTCAGGACTATTGACTTCAGTGGGACTTAAGCACATATTGGAAGTTAAGCTCATATAACTGTAGGAATGTAGAGCTGGAAGGGTCCTCAAGCAGTCATCGAGCCCTTCCCCTCATGCTTCAGCAAGAAGAATTATATCCAGATCATCCATGACAAATATATACTAAAAAGATGGTATCCACCATTTGCAATTTGTTATGCACATGCTGAAACAGTTCAACTAGCCATTGGAGTGCAAAAAGAATACAGTGTGATTTAAGTGATTAATTACGTACCAGGAATAGGATTTGAGACCATCAAAGTCAACCAGTTTTTCCACTGACAACAGTGCATGTTGCACCAGTCTCATAGCATATAATTAAAGTGCACAGTTCATGAATAATTGATGGGCTGAAAATTTCTTCCCCGAACTCTTTGGAAACATCTGCAAACAACAAAGACATTTTGAGAAACCAGATTTGGGAACATTCACAAATAGAAAAAAGGAATATTTGTGAAGGAGCATTCAGTTATCTGTAGTCACAATCAAAGTCAAACAAAAACAGGCACCTTGACAAAATGCTCAGATATGTTAATCTGATGTTTTAAGGCCCTAAATACTTGTTTTACCTATTTTAGAGCTGATTTGGTACTGGATTTGGTTGTCTTATTAAGATGCCTATATTCAAATATTAGACTCACTGGAATACATACATTTTCATTAAACTTTCATGCCTCATTTCACAGTAACAGCACTGTGAATATAGTATGAAATACTGCAGAAAAGCACAGGCTTGTGTCTGAAGTGGTAGCTCTCCTAAACGGGATTTAACTCCATATACTGCTATTTGTAATCAATAGTAGATTTCAGTCCTATAAATTGCAATCCATGCCATGTCCCACTGATCTGGTAAAACAAAGACATTGTTTGTCAACAGCTGGATGTGGCAAATTTTAGTGCTTTTATCCCATGCTTTGCTTTAAAAGAATCTCTTTTTCATTATACAGTCACAGTTCTCAACCCCCCTGTGAGTTGTACTTAAACCACTCCTTTTAAATGCCTATTGACTTAGCTACAGCTCCCCTGAAGAGCACAGAGACTATTGTTTTTGAAATGCTTCCATCTGAGCTATGATGCTGGGTCTGCAGACAAGCATCACATTTCCCAAGAGGTTTCCAAGAGGAGTTCCATTTGGGAGTTGGGCTAGACTTGAAAGGGAGCAGGCTGGAGAGTCTTCTGCAAGGTAAATTAAATTTTCCTGTTTATTTATCTAACATAGAAAAAAATGGTGCTGCCTAGCAGAGCATATGTTGGGCATAATGAAAGACAAACGTTGGCTTTGGAGGGAAAACAGACATTCATCAAAGTATGTGGAAGAACAAACAACTTTTTCATTAAAACACAATCGAAAGGTAGCTTCTCATATCCGTTCCACCTGCTTTCCCATGTCATGTGATGGATGGGAATCTGCTATTCTCTTCAATTTTCAGTCAGTTTCTCTTTACTGGAGTTGATGCAGGGCCCCCCACACATGGCAGGCAATCCAGGGCTTACCACCCATAGGCATGGGGGTAAGGAGCAATGCATGTGGTACCTTAAAAGATATAATAAAGCTCTGCTGTGGCTTTGTCCCAAGCCTTGAGTAGAAAGTCAGCCCAAGACCCATGCAGCACTTTAAACCTATTATGAGTGGAACTGACTTTCTGCATGGGGATTGAATTTCCTCCTCCCCCAGGGCCCAATCCTGCAAGGTGCCAAATGCCTCAACTCTCATTACTTTCAACAGGAACTGAAGGCCAACATACCCTATCATTGAGTCCTCAGTGCCTAAGAGGAAGCGTACAGACCATTGTCATAAGATAGTAAAGTAAATGTGCAGCACAATGAGGCACTTGTTCAAAGGAAAAGCAGATTTGTACAGAGTGTGCAAAGTTGTTTTCATTGCACTTTCCTGAAAAAAATATTATGTCCTCTTCCCTCACTTTAATGAATGGATCTTTCCCCTTCTTCCCCCCCTCCTCTCCCACCTGGCAGTGTCTTTTATTCAGGTGTGTTAACTCCATATCCTTTTATCTGTTACTAAGGGTATGTCTACACTACAAAGTAAATTCGAACTAACAGCTGTTAGTTCGAATTAACTTTAATAGTGGCTATACATGCAAACCACTATTTCAAATTTAATTCGAAATAACGGAGCACTTAATTCGAACTAGGTAAACCTCATTCTACGAGGAGTAATGCCTAGTTCAAATTAAGTAGTTCGAATTAAGGGCTGTGTGGCCACTTAATTCGAACTAGGTAAACCTCATTCTACGAGGAGTAATGCCTAGTTCAAATTAAGTAGTTCGAATTAAGGGCTGTGTGGCCACTTAATTCGAACTAGTTGGAGGCTAGCCCTTCCCAGGTTGCCCTGGTGGCCACTCTGGGCCAGACCAGGAAAACTCTTCTGCCCCCCTCCCAGTCCCAGAGCCCTTAAAGGGGCATGGTCTGTCCACAGTGCCAGTTGCAAGCCTGCCAGCATCCAGCCAACAGACCTTGCACCTGGCACAGGATGAGCCAGCCACCCACTCCCAACCAGCCCTCCATCTCTTCCAAGGACCAGGCTGGTGGCTCACAGGAGCCTGCCCGGGGCCAAAAAAGACGGGCACCCACCTGGTCTAGTGCAGAGATCATGGACCTCATCAAGTTTTGGGGGAAGGCCCCCAATGTCCATGATCTCTGCACTAGGCACAGGAATGCGGCCGTCTACAGCCGCATGGCTGCCAGCCTGGCCACCAGAGGCCATGTGCGGACCCAGGAGCAGATCCGCTACAAAATCCGCTACAAATCCGCTACTCCAGGGCCTCCCAACCAGGGGCTGACCCAGAGGCCTGCCCTCACTTTGGGGCCCTGGACCACATCCTGGGGTCTCACGCAGTCAGAGGAGGAGGACGCCCAGAGCCAGGAGCCTGCAGGGAGCCTGCCCAGGACCAAGGACCCCCGAGGAATCCCACAGAGCACATCAGCTATGTCGTCTGAGGCCGGGGAGGGATCCACATGTGAGTGCCATCATGCTGGAAAGCTAGGGAGACCAATAGTGGATCCAGAATTTCAGGATGAAGGAGGACACCTTCCTGGAGCTCTGCGAGTGGCTCACCCCTGATCTGCAGCGATGGGACACTCACATGAGGCCCGCCATCTCCCTCCAGAAGCATGTGCCATCGCCCTGTGGAAGCTCTCCACGCCGGACAGCTACCGATCCATCGGAAACCAGTTTGGTGTGGGGAAATCCACCATTGGAGCGGTGCTCATGCAGGTATGGCACTCACCGGCCACTGTGCTGGGGGGGAAAGCAGGCTGCAAGGAGGGGATGGGCCGCCCCAGGGAAAAGGGGTGGGAGGAGGCAAAAGTGCCCCGCACGGGAGGGTTCAGTCTGTCCCAGCCGTACTACACGGCGCCCATGGGGGTTGCTTCTGGGAGTGGGGCGCGGGGCAGTGCCAGGGAACGAACACTCCCAACCACCCTGGCACCCCAGTGATTCGCGGTTTGGTGTGTCTCTCTGAAGGTGGTCGAGGCCATCAACAGAGTGCTGCTCCGCAGGGTGGTTCACCTCTCCGACCCGGACACGGTCATCCAGGGGTTCGGTGCCCTCGGCTTCCCCAACTGCGGGGGGGCCATCGACGGGATACACATCCCCATCCATGCCCCGGAACACCAGGCCTCCCAGTACATCAACCGCAAGGCCATGTCTGACCACCAGCGCCAGTTCACGGACATTAATGTGGGCTGGTCTGGCAAGGCACATGACGCCAGGGTGTTCCGCAACTCCTCCGTGTACCAGAGGCTGCAGGCCGGGACCTTCTTCCCCGACTGCCACATCAGAGTCGGGGATGTAAACATGCCCATCTGCCTGGTGGGGATGCGGCCTACCCTCTATAGCCCTGGCTGATGAAGCCCTACATGGGGCACCTCAACCCCTTCCGGCAGGCCTTCAATTCCAGGCTCACCAGGGCCTGCATTGTGGTGGAGGGGGCCTTCGACTGACTGAAAGCACACTTTAGGTGCCTCCTCACCCACCTTGACCTCACCGAGCACAATATCCCTCCCGTAGTGGCAGCATGTTGTGTTCTGCACAATTTATGTGAGTGGAAGGGGGAGGCTTTTCCTGCCAGTATGCGCAGCCCCACACAGCCACTGTCTGGGGAGCCCAGCGGGGGGCCGCGCCCTGTGGGAGAGCTTCCATGTGGAGGAGGACTGAACTCTTCCTGCATGCCCCACTGTGGCCTTCTTCCACCCTCCCCTCCTTCCCCTTTCCCCTCCCTAACGTCAAATAAAGATACCTGTTTTGCCAACAAAAATCTCTTTTTATATTACATAACTGGGGTGGGAGGAGGGAGGAGTGAGGGTGGGAGAGAGAAGGGGGAAACCTGGAAGGAGGGAGCTGGAAGGGGGAGAAATGGGAGGAAGGGAAGGAAAATCTCAGGGTTGGGGGTCCTGCTGGCTCTCCCGTTTCGCAGCACTGTGGGTGCATCGGGGGGGAGTGCGTGTGCAGGG